ATCCGCTCACTGGACGGGGGCTCGGGCTTCACCAGCTTCGTCGGGAGTAGCGCGAGTAAATTTTCTAGTACTAGTAATAGTCTGAGTACTACTACTACTCGTTGTATCACTACTACTACTAGTAGAATTATCACTACTACTACTACTACTACTACTACTCCTGCACCACTACTACTACTACTACTACTACTACTACTACTACTACGACTACTACTATTACTACTACCTGCTACACCTACTACTACTACTACTACTACTACTACGACTACTACTACTACTACTACTACGACTACTACTACCACTACCACTCGAACTACTACTACCGCTACTACTACTACTACTACTACTACTACTACTACTACTACTACCACCATTCCCCCAACTCCGACTACTACTACTACCGCCACTACGACGACTACTAGTACGAGTAAACATGCAAATTCAAATGCCAGCAGTAGTTGTGGTAGTGGTAGAAATAAAAATAATAGTAATAGCAGTCGTAATAATAATAAAGTACAAGTAGTAATATTAGTAGTAGTAGTAATAGCAGTAGTAGTAGCAATAGTAGTAGTAGTAGTAGTAGTAGTAGTAGCAGTAGTAGTAGTAGTGGTAATACGATTACTGGTAATTCTTTTTCTTCTACGACTGCGACTATTACACTACTACTACTACTACTACTACTACTACTACTACTACGACGATGACTACTACGATGACTACTACGATGACTACTACTACTACTACTACTACTACTACTACTACTACTACTACTACTACTACTACTACTACCACTACAAGTGCTACAACTGATGCTACCACTACAACTACTACGACCACGACTACGACGACGACGACGACTACTACAACTACTCTTCGACTACGACTGCTATTACGACTATGACGAATACTATCATAGGCCGCGGGAATTGCAGCGCGAAGAACGGCGCCACCGCAATCCTGCACTGGAACGCGTTGACCCGCTCAGCCAGCCCGACGTCGGCCAGCTGGCACCACCTATCGCTGCCGGCCATCTCCATCAGAGCATTGCCCAGCAACATCTGCGTTATGGAGCTGTGCAAGCCAGGCCCCAGCTCACGCGCATAGCCTCCGTCCAACCTGCACTGCTCGAAGAACGTTATCAGCCCGAGCGAGTCCACATGCGCCCTTGACAGCAAGTCTACCAACATCTCGCCTTCCACCAGCGATAGCATATATAAAGACAGCAGCTTCAAGATGATCAGCCTTCAGAGCACGCGACGCCGCGCGCGCGTTCACCAGTGGGCCCCTGGTCGCCATGCTACCGATCAAGGCCACCAGCGCACTTCCCATCTGTATGTCTCTGGGCTCGCCCAGCAGCAGCTGCTCGTAGTGCAACATAGCACCCTCCACGTGGCCCCTGCGCCTAGCATGCAGGTCGGCCAGGCCAGCCGCGCGCATCTTCTCGACCTTCGCCCTGGCACGGTCTTGATCCTCGGCCAGTACGCGAGGCAGCGTGTATCGCCTGTCCCGCATGGCTACAGCATGCCACTCCTCTTTTGCGATGACAGGTAACACCAGAGCGTCGTGCACGCAGCCCGGCAATGGTTGATCAAAATCCGCCTCGCCGACACGCGCCTTAGCGCTCAAGCCTGCTGGAAACTACAGCGGGGAATGACCGTCGAATCCCACTCCCACGCCAGCCCTCTCGAACTGTGTCTTCTTCTCCTTGTAGCTCAGATCGATGTACCGCTGCACGCTGCCTGCCGGCCAGCTAGATTGCTGCGCTGCCTTGTAGGCGTCGTCAGCCAAGCGCTCTACCCGAACGCCCGAATCCTCCAAGCGCTGTCTCATGCTCGGCGGCAACGTGCCGGCAGCATCACTCGCCGCATGGCGTGGCATCCAGTGAAAGTAAGTCTTCACATGCGTAGCCACCCTCGGCAGGGGCACGCACTGCGCTGAATGCTGAGGCAACTCGCCGCAATAGCCAATGAGGCCGCCCTCGCCGCCTAGCACGCAGCTCACCTGGAACTGCCTTGCTGAGCAGCGCGCAAGCTCCATCGTGCCCTTCCTTCTCTGGCAGCCAGGCTTGTCTCTGGCCAGCACGTGCCCCTGCAATGCCCTCAAGCCAATCGGGTAAGCCCCGCGTCTGCCCATCTCTGCAGCGCGCTCCAATTCCGAATGCTGCAGATTGAAGAAATAAAGGGTCTCGCGCTGCACCGGTGGCGCCACATAGTTGCCAACCGCTCTGAACAGAAATCCGCACACCTCGTTCTTAGACACCAAGCGCCTGAGCAGCTCCAGCTGCGTCACTGAAAGCAACTGCTTGAAACCATTCATGTAGCACCTGCGCGCTTTCAGACCATGCACGATCATCGGGCCCACTAGTGGATTGGACGAGCACAGCCCCGCATCGTCTCCGATGCGCACCTCCTTCAGCATGCGATGGCTCAAATCGTAACCTGCCAGCTTCCACATTTGGATCGCTATTTTGAAGAAGATCTTGTTCGCCAGACTATTGAATAAGTCTGTCAGACGTATGCCCGAGCTTTCGCCTTGCACGGTGTCATCCTGCCTGCCGTTTATCACGATCGATTGCCTACCTAGCGCTTCGCACTCCGCGGCTATGATCAGCTCAGCTCGCTCCCTTTCTGCCGGGTCTTCCGTGTCAGCCAGCACCCTCGGGCTATTGCCTGCCACAATATCTGCTGGTGCACCGGCTTCAAATGCAAGTTGAAATCGCTCCAATCGATTGACGCCTGGAACGTCTGCATACCAGCAGCGGCGGCGTCGTTCATGTGGTGAAGAAAATTCAACAGATGCCGGGCCCCCTCAGCTTCTTTGCTCGGGTGCGCATACCATTCAGAATGCTGCAGCTTGTCCTCCAACCAGGCACAGACTAGCTTCTGGCGCAAGAAACTATCCAATACGACTATGACGGGTACGACTACGACTACGACTACGACTACGACTACGACTACTACTACTACTACTACTACTACTACTACTACTACTACTACTACTACTGCTACTGCTACTGCTACTGCACTACTACTACTACTACTACTACTACTACTACTACTACTACTACCACTACCACTACACCGCTACTACGACTACTACTACTACTACTACTACTACTACACTACTACACTAACTACCACCACTACTACTACTACTACCACTACCACACCTACTACTAGTACTACTACTACCTACTACTAATACTACTACTACGACTACGCAACTTACGGCTACGACTACTACTACGACTACGACTACGACTACGACTACGACTACAGACTACAACTACTACTACTACTACTACTAACTACTAACTACTACGCTGCACTACTACTCTTGCTACTACTAACTACTAACTACTACTACTACAACTACTACTACTACTACTCTTCTACTACTACTACTACTACTACTACTACTACTACTCCTGCCACTACTACTACTACTACTGCTACTACTACTACTTGTGCTACTACTACGACTACTACTACTACTACTACTACGACTACTACTACTACGACGACGACGACGACGACTACTACTACGACTGATACTACTTCTACTACTACTACTACTACTACTACTACTACTACTACTACTACTACTACTACGACTACTACTACTACGGCTACTACTACTGCGACTACGACTACTACTACTACGACTACGACTATTACTACTTCTACTTCTACTACTACTACTACTACTACTACTACTACTACTGCTGCTGCTACTACTACTACTACTACTACTACTACTACTACTGCTTATATTGCTACTCCTGCCACTACAAAAACTACGGCTACTACAACATAGTACGCCGACTACTACGACTAAAGATTGAGGTTGCTACGACCACGGCGACAACCACGATTACTGCTGCTACTACTACTTCTACTACGACAACTACTACACCACAAACATACTACTACGACTACTACTACGACTACTACTACGGCTGCGACTGGGACTAGGACTACGACTGCTACTACCACTACCACTACCACTACCACTACCACTACCACTACCACTGCTACTACTCCTGCTACTACCTCTACTACTACTACTACTACTACTACTACGACTACTACTACTATTATTACTACTACTACCACGACTACTACTACTACTACGACTACTACTACTACTCCTAGTACTACTCCGACTACTACTACTACTGCGACGACAACAACAACTACTACTACTACTACTACTACTACTACTATTACTACTACGACTACTACTACTACTAGTACTACTAGTACGACTACTACTACTACTATTCCTACTACTACTACTACTACTGCTACTACTACTACTACTACTACTACTACGACAACGACGACGACGACGACGACTACGACTACTACTACTACTACTACTATTACTACGACTACTACTACTACTACTACTACTACGAGTACTAGTACTACTACTAGTACTACTAGTACGACTACTACTACTACTACTACTACTACTACTACTACTAGTACTACTACTAGTCCTACCACAACTACTACTACTACTACTACTACTACAACTACTACTACTACTACTACTACTACTTCTACTACTACTACTACGACATCTGCTATTCATATTACTATTTCTTCTACTGCGTCTTCTACTCCTCCTACTACTATCACTACCACTACTACTACAAGTACTACTACTACTGCTACTACTACTACTACTACTATTACTACTACTACTACCACTACTACTACTACTACTACTACTACTACTACTACTACTACTACTACTACTACTACTACTACTACCACCATTCCTACTACTACTACTAATACTACTGCTGCTGCTACTGCTACTATTACTACGACAATTTCTTCGTCTTCTTCTACTACTACTACGACCACTACTACAACAACAACAACTACTACTAACTACTGATACTACTACTAATACTACTACTACTACTACCACTACTACTACTACTACTACTACTACTACTACTACTACGACTACTACTACGACTACGA